GGGCAGAACATAGGAAGCAGAAAGAGCAAAAAGGACCTCCCAAAAGGTGCAGCTCTTGGCTGCAGCCTTAAGCTCACCTCCCACATGGGATTGCCCTCCTGGTTCTTAGCCTAAACAAGGGAAGCGAAAAGGTGGAAAACATAAAACTGGGCATCCAAGTCACTATGCCTTGGGCATAAATCAGTGTGTATATTGTAAAAAAAAAAAAAACTGGATATTGGAAGAGGAAATGCCCAGTACTCCAAGGGGAGCCATGGGCACCTGAACCAATGATGGCTGAAATAGCCAGGCAAGCCCACCAGACCTTCTGCCACATCTCCCATTGGACAATGGAACATATCTCCAGAGGAACCATAGGTAACCTTTGAGGTGGCAGGTAAGAATATTAACTTTTGGGTTGGGTGAGGTGGCTCATGCCTGTAATTCCAGCCCGCTGGCAGCCTGCCCAAATGGTGAAACGTACCTAATGAAACACCAAAAATAAGCTAGGCTATGGTGAGGCCAGGTGGACTGTAATTCCAGCGATTGCAGGAGCGCTGAGCAGCGAGAATCACTTGAACGTGGGAAGCGGAGGTTTCGTGCAGCCGAGATTGCACCACTCACTCCAGCCTGGGGACAGAGTGAGACGCGTCCTCAAAAAAAAAAAAAAAAAAGAAAAGAAAAAGAAAGAAAGAAAAAGAAAAAGAATATTAACTTCCATTTGGACATGGACTTGCTTACTTGGTTTTGACCCATTACAATGGGCTTCCGTCACCCCAAAACTGTATGGTCACAGGGGTAGATAAACAACTTCATACATGCCATTTTACCCACCTTTTAAGCTGCTCTTCAGAGACTTTAGTTTCCTCACATACCTTCCTTTTCATGTCTGAATGCCCCACTCCCTTGTTGGGAAGGAGTTTGACGGCTCAGCTGCAAACAGTGGTATGTCTTGGAAATCACAAGGCAGATGAGGGTTTGCTCCTTCTGCTTTCCTGTGATAAGGGGGGAAAGACAATGGGAAACTTATCTACTTCCCAAGTCAATCCTATAGTATAGGACACTGAGATCACAGGCAAAGTGTTAAATGTTCCCCCCATCTGTATCCAACTTAAACTTGATGTCCTGTACCCCTGGAGGAGACAATACCTCTTAAAGCCAGAGGCACAAAGAGGAATCCAACCATTAATAGCTAATAGAACTTTGGGAAGCCGAGGCGGGCGGATCATGAGGTCAAGAGATCAAGACCATCCTGGCCAACGTGGTGAAACACTGTCTCTACTAAAAATACAAAAAAATTAGCTGGGCGCGGTGGCGCGTGCCAGTAGTCCCTGCTACTCTGGAGGCTGAGGCAAGAGAATTGCTTGAATCCGGGAAGTGGAGGTTGCAGTGAGCCGAGATCATGCCACTGCACTCCAGCCTAGGCAACGGAGCGAGACTCTGTCTCAGAAAAAAAGAAAAAAAAAAAGAAAAAAAGACTCATAGCATATTCAAATTTACACAAGTACATGCCAGTATAAACAGGTATAATATAATCCAACTGCAGTGTGAATGTATGTACATACATACTAATATGATTAATCTTCTTTCTTTCCTTTTCTTGTGTTTCATAAAACAGCAATTTCATATAAATACCCATTGTTAGGTATTTATATAGTAAATTGGAGGGACAAGGGAAGTTGAAGTACTGATCAGGGTTGGGATGAGACAACCTCATTTGTCATTTAGATAGGGAAATGTTAAGTTAAAATACGTAAGAATATGTATGTAAATGAAATTGCTCTTTTAATTTTAGAGTCACAAGAGGACTTGTTTAGCCTAGATCACTTGATTTTGAATACCTTGTATGTGCTAGGTACTGTCCTAGGAACTGAGATGAAGTTGATAAGCATTGTCCCTGCTCTCATGAAGGTTACATGAAGCTAGAATAGAGAGACCCTAAACAGGTGACAATAAACACATAGACTCAATAAACTCTACAGTAACTTTGGTGAGAAAAGTTTATGAAGTTAAAGTACAGAGTGCTAGGAGAGGGTATAAAAGGGGACTCCTCAAAGGTAGGAGTAAGGGTTGGAGAAGTTTCCTCAAGGAAGTAAAAGGCAAGCTATTCCAGAAGGAAGGATGGTAGTTACCCTGGTAAAAGTGAGGGGAGGTATTATAGATTGAGAGGATTGTGCATGCTAAACCCCTTGTTGGACTACTGCTAGACAAGGAGAAAAGAGGGTAAACAAGTTATAATTTAATTAAAACCAAGCATGGTGACTCATGTCTGTGATCCCAGCACTTTGGAGACTGAGGTGGGCCGATGACCTGAGGTCAGGATTTCAAGATCACCCTGGCCAACATGGTGAAATCCTGTCTACAAAAATTAGCCAGGCATGCTGGTAGATGCCTGTACTCCCACATACTCAGGAGGCTGAGGTGGGAGAGTCACCTGAACCTGGGAGTTAGAAGTTGCAGTGAGCTGAGGTCATGCCATTGACCTCCAGCCTGGGCAGCAGAGCAAGACTCAGTCTCAAAAAACAAACAAACAAACAAACAAAAAAATACCTACTGTGAGCCAGGTTATTGAATTTAGAACAGTATCTGACAGCCTGAAGATCAAGATAACTTGTTAATTCATTAAGTCCTGCATTAATGCTACACTGGGGATGCAGTGGTAGATATAATATGGTAAATGCTCTGGGAGAGCTAGAGTGAATGAAGAAACCTATAAATAAGTAAGAGCAATGCAGTATTTTTGTTGTAATTCAGATAATGAGATGTTATGGGAACATCAAGTTGGAAGCTATAAGCTCTGCCAAGGAAAACACAAAGGAGGTGTTACTTGAACTGAGTTCTTAAGGATGAGTAAGCCTCCTCTTATATGCAGGTAGTGGCCCTAGCAAATGCAAAGTCATGGGCCTAGGAAAGAACATGCCCAGTTAGGGAACCAAACACCTGACTATAGTGAATTTGAGGGACAAGGGAAGTTGAAGTGCTGATCAAGAGTGGGATGAGACAGAAAGAACATCATCTGTCATACTTAGAAGCCTCTATTTTATTTCTAGGAAACAATTTAGATAGGGAAGAATTTAGAGAAGGAAATCTTTGTTTTCCAAAAACCCCAGAGGCCATTGGGGCTGTGAAGGAATAACTGCAAGGGAACTGAGCTTGGAGAAAGGTTGAACCAAAGCAATGGTGTTGGGGAACGATGGCCTTCTCTGCCAGGCACAGAGGAGCAGAGTTAGTGTTTGAAATTATATAGAACTAAAGATAAGTAAAATGTATTGTTACAGTATAGGAAGGAGAAACAATATAAGTGAAGTTTACAAATGTTTTAATGCTTATTCAAAGGACAAAATAAAGACTATGAACCAATGAGACACATAATAAAAAAGTATAATTTTAATATAGTGAATGTAATACATATGTAATTCATCATAACAAAATGGTCAAAACCTTTAAACGATACACAACAGACATCTAAAAATCTTAGCAATGCTAAATATATAATAAGTATATATTATATATAAGTATATAATATATAAATACAAATGCTTTTTACCAAGAAATGTTTTATTTTTCTTGCAGTAGCTTTGTTAATTGCACAAAATTATCATGTTTTGTTTTTGCCATTTAAGTGTTATCACACAATGCTATTCCGAAAGACAAATGTTCGTTAAAAACAAAGCAAAAATAGAAATTCACAACCATTAATTACCTAGATTTGTCATTTAAAGGTTTAAAGAAAAAAAGGGAGGAACTTTCCTTTTTTCACAAGGGTCACATTTTCTCCTTAAAAGGGAAAGATTTCCAAACAAAGGTGAAATAGCTTAAACAGAAATATTTATAAAAAGAAACTTTACAGCATTGTCAAGGATATTAAGACTACGTTGACTAACTGGTTTCATTACTGCATCTTCCCCTACCCCCATCCCCAGTATGTCCCACCAGGACTAGAGCAGGCTTTGCATTCAGAGAGAAATGCTTCAAAATCCCAGTGAAATGAACTGTCCTAAAAACCCAACCGGCATCTTCCCTGCCCTCCCTGTTGGTCTTCTGCAATCCTCTAACCCGGGTTCTTCTCTGTGAAAGGGGCCAAAGCTGTGAGTGGGTATGGACTGTGCCCCAGTGTGGCCACCTTATATATAATTTTGTATTCCACCATAAATGCTGGCCTTCTGCAAATTATGATTTTGGAAAATCTAGCCCATGCAGAGGGATAAAAAATGGACATCCCTTGGACGACTTCTCCTTGCTTTTTTTGCCAACATTCCAAGCCCTCTCTGGTCCCCTGTACAAGGAGAAATGCTAGGATCTCGAGGATATCGCTATGTATTTTAAAAACTAAATGGTAAATTTATATTCAAATGTTTGAATAAGTTTCCAAAACTATCAGCGTACAAGTCATTGTTAAGTTTGCCTTTACTTTAAAAACTGAAAGAATACATTTCAATGTAAAGTAGCAGTCAGGAATGTGCCTGTTTTCTAGCTTCTTCATCTATCTAAAATATACATTTAGTTAACAGAATTATAGTACCCCTAATAAAATCGTTAATAAATAGTATGTAAAATCAAAGTTTAAAAGTAAATGATGGCAGTTTGCTATACTAAGAATATAAAGAATGTCTAAAATTATAGGAAGATATTAGCCTCCATAGAACTGAAACTTTTAGAAATTCTGAATAAGGAAATATATTCTACATAGATAAGGTGCGATACACTCAGCTTTCTAAAGCAAAATAATTACATAGTATCCCACGATCAAGAGTAAGGAAATTCTCTGACAAGAAACATTAAAATATTTCCTATTTCTTAAAAAGGTGAAGATAACAGTGTATCTCCATCGACAGAATTCTTATGAAACATTTCCATATTAAATCCACAGCCTTCTCAGTTAATACCTTAAGGAATATTTCTTGGAGATATAATAGTACCTTTCAATTCAAGACACTTCGATTCAAGACACCTTCAATTTCAAGACACAATTCAAGACACAACCAGTGATTCTTGGCTCACATTATAGTCAGTTGCCAAAAACTTCAATAGCATAGCAGATAAAATAACAGCAAATAGCAGAGGTACTATGCTAAACACTTCATTAGCTGAGCTGAAAGCTTAAGGGGCAAACATAGGTTTTCCTCACACTCTTCAAAGTGAGGAATCCAGGAAGAAAGCTAACTACTGGAAAAACAAATAAACAAGCAAACAAACAAATCAAAATCCTTCCTTCTTGTCTTCCCTGGGTCTGGAGACCTCCAGAAAACTGCTCTGCTGAAGACTGGGAAACGCTTCCACGCCTACTCATTTCTCTTCATCAGTTGTCCTTGTTTTCACTGTTGAGAAAAAGGTTATATTAGTTTAACCATTTTTCGCACTCCTTTCTACTCCACCCTGGTGTCAACACTCAGCGTTTATAATGCTTGGTAAAAAAGGAGTATACAAAAATCAATACAAGCAATGGGGAAACACAAAGCATAACTAGCGACAAGCTGTGTGTATTTGCTCAAGTAATTACATGTAAGATTGGTAATAAAGTTTTTCCCAAGACAATCCAGAAAAATGTTCCCAATTTAACAACCTTTTAATACTAAGCGTGAAAAGTGTTACTTAAATAGTACAGAGAGTAAAGACCTTGTGAAGTCTATGGTCTCGCTAGATGAGATTTAAAAACCACAAAGATCTAAGTGACAAGTACCCGTCCAAAATTTTCTGGATGACTTTCTTTAGAAAAGGGGCTTGTGGATCGAGACAAACTTCAGTCCCGTTCTTCAGGGAGGCTCTGAAGGAAAGAAAAGGAAGATACACTCATGAGATAGAAAGGTTGAAGACCCAGGCTGCGGGACTTCCCTCTTGTTAAGGTCACGGTGGACAGAGCAGCACAGAACTTACACCACTTTCACCTGGGAGCACTGCGGGCCTATGGCGAACACCTGCAGATTACTGATCATTTGGGGTTGAACTCCCTGCGTGGTCTGTAAACAACTGCAACGCAGCTCTCTCAACGCAGCAGCGACAGGACCAACTGGGGAAGAAAGAGAGACACCTTTATAGGGCAGGTTGCTTGGTGAGTTCCCTGGAAGGCAGCTGCCCCGCAGAGGCTGGGATGCACCGCTGTGCCCCAGTGCGCCCCGCGTGCCAGGCGCTCTCACCTGGGCTGAGGGGCCCTGGGGGCGTCAGCAGCAGCAGCAGTGCGAGCAGCGCGCACAAGGAGCCCGAAGGACCCGGGACAGGGGCCGCGCAGCTGGACAGGAGGCTCATAGTGGTCAAGTGAGCGCTGAGAGCAGTCGCGGGTTCCTGAACTGAGTGGAGGAGCAGAGATTGGAGGATCCGGAGCACTGAAGCTTCCTAGTGCCTTTTGCACTCCTTTTATCTACATTCATCTCTACCCACTGACAGGAAACTCAAGCTTTGGGATGCTGGGGAAATTCCCTGAATTCAGGGGGCAGTGTGGAAAGAAGAGGTTGGGGGAGGGGGACTGACAGTGGGGAGGGTGTCCTGGAGGAGCTGCGGGCACCTCTACCTAGAGGGACATTCTCCACCTGCTCCTCGGTGGAGGGAGCTGTGACTCCAGCCAGAAGGCAGCAGTGATACAGCGGGGCCTCAAGTCCTGGGCCTGAGGGGGCTAGGGATGCCGGAGTTTCTGAGGCAGGCAGCCCTCTGGGAGATGCTGCCCCTCTCCTTCTAGAGAGAAAAGGTGGAACCAAAGTAGCAGGAGCCTTGATTTGAGAAAAATTTCTCAAAGTCAATCCTTTCTAATTATTATTACTAGTAATCCAAGAAATGTTATGCATGTTTGAATTGCTCTAAACTGAAAGTCCTTCTGTCTTCCCTGCAAGAAGGTCATTCTAGCTTTCTTGAATGACTTTATGATTCTCTGGACTTCAGCCAGCTTTGGAAGCCAAGATAACATAACAAGAGACCCTTGTCTCTTGCCACTTGAAGTCAGTGGCCTGAAAGGACCACCACTGAATTTTGTTGACTCCCCCACAGATCACCTTCTTTGGTGAGTAAGTCTGCTTACTGAGAATTCTGTACTTGTAGTATAGCAAGTATATGTGTGTCCAGGTGGTTAAACAAAAATCTTCCAAAATCACCCAGCAAATTGCCATGGAACATACCTTGCTGTTGGCAGTTGCTATGCTATTGAATTGGAAGAGGTTTTGGTCTTCTTGGGGGTGAGGTGTAGCATGGTGAGCACAGGCTAAAGCTTGCCAGGGATCCCAGGCTTGCCCCAGCTCTGGACCCACCCCCAGGTGTGTATTTGACACCATTTGGAGATGCTGTAGGAGGCTGATGAGTTTGAGGGGCTCTTGTGAAAGCTTCTTGTATGGGTTTGCATCAATTTGGCAGCACAACAGCACCCAGTCTGTTTTCCCTCAAATAACTTCGGGGGGGGCGGGGGTAATGCTCCCCACAGGCTTCTGGATCTCTCGAGTTTCATGATTACTGGTGATCAAGGCTGTTCCCACAGGCCTACTCTAGTCGCCAGTGAGCCCTGCACTGCTGCCTGAAATTGAAGGGTGCAGTAACTTCCAGCTTTCTCTCCCTCTCTCCTTCTGCTATCTGTGGAGCAGTTAAAGCACTGAAGGATTAAGGGTCTTCCACTGTCTCACTCCATGCAGAAATGGCTATTGTATTGGAATGACACATTGGCTTTCTTTCACGGAAATTGAACTAGATCCTCTTCTGGCTGGTTCTCAAAACCCTTGCCCTCATGGCAGAGCAAAGGTAATCAGTAAACATGATTGCAATGAGAAACCAGTCAAGAAACACAACTCTTTCCCTTGTCTCCTATGATTCCGGTAATTTTATTAACTCCTCCATCCATCACCTCCACTGGTGAGCAAGAAAGAGGTGTCATAGACCTTTACAACTTTTATTCTGGAAGGAAACTTCAGAAATTCACTGGCTGAGTAAGGTTGGGTGGTATGGGCCTTACTCTGTGGGAAACGAAATGAGAAGTCCTCACAGCTTCCTGACATCATCAGCATCATACCTGACTCGGCAAATGGAATTCTTCATTTTTCTGGGGAGTGGTGATCGGTAGAAAGCCTGCAGATTTAGTCTATTGACATTTTAGAGATTAGAGTGTATCTAAAGACAAAAGTTAAGCCTTGGTGAAGTGATAAGACTTCAAAAAATCTTGGGCAATTAAATTCAACTTAACCACAGGGAATAAACCATAATATAAGACTTTGCTTAAAAAAAAAAAAAAACAGTTTGATTACGTAGGTTATTGACTTTTAAACTGTGTGTGTGTGTGTTTGTGTGTGTGTTTGGGTTAGTTCTAATTAAACTATTTTAAACATAAGTGAACACATGAATTTGCTTTTGGCATCAAATGGTGAAATCTGAGATGGATCATGAGACAAGATTGCCAGTTCCTCCTGACGGTCTTATAAATGTATATATCTCACCTGGTTGCACTCTGAATCAATTCACTGTAGCTTGTTTATGGAACACAAGAAGAAAAACAATACTTCTTTAGCTGACCAGCAGGTGATAGAAGGTCCCCACTAGAAGTGGGCTGTTGGGTTGCCCAACCTAATCAGGAAGCAATATGTCACTTAAACTGGCTTCCCACGGAAATCACTCTGGCCCACTGCCCATGTCTGGCTCCTATATAAGCATCTTGGATGTTGGCTTTGTACTAACGTGAATGGTCCAAAGGTCCTCTGAGGTTGAGTATGACAGCACCAAGAACCACTGAAGACACAGCACTTTAACAGTAGTTGCTTCTTTATCACCAGTTTAAACAAAAGCCATTTTTCTTACCTGCACTGTATCCATGTGGTAGAAAAGAACTCTGTTAGTTTTGTTCCCAACTAAAATAGAACAATTCATCCAATGATATCAGCATCCTGATAGCCTGAAGGCTTAACTATCTGTCTAAAGCAATCTTATTTTGGTCATTATACCACAGTATAACGTAATATAAACTAATACAGTATAAATGATTTTTGCCTTCTGAAACACTTTCATGTTCATTATTGCTTGAGCCTCACATTGATTCTTAGAGAAGAGAAATTTTCTTCCCATTTTGCAGCTAGGCAAAGTAAGTAGAGCATGAGTTAAGTAGTAGAAAATCCAGCACTGGCAGTCAAGCACCAGAGAATCTGCCCCAGTAATTTTTAATGGTTTCCAGATTACAAACCACTTTCTTCACAGTTGCTGGCAAATAACCCCCAGCAGCTTGCCACAGTCTGGCTAACCATTTTATTGTGTTTCCCAACAACCATATTTTAAGCTGTTGAGATCCTCAATCCTTCCACTCCTGTGTTTGAGATTGCAGTAATATCAAGGGTCCTAGAGGCTTCCAAGTTATCCCACCTGAAACTGTCCTCTGCTTTCTAAATCCCTCACTGTCTTCTAGGTAGATTCAAAGTCCTTTCTTCTTTGAAAAGGCTTATTGTGGCTAAGTCATTTGTAGGGTATTGCTTCCACCTTTGCTCTTTGAACATCTAGTGTACTTGTAATAACTACCTCATGAGGCGGAGTTTAATTGTTCCCTAATTTTGCCTTTGTCTTCCTCAAGTCAACTATAAACTCCTAAAATCAGTGGTGATGCCATGCATTTCTCACATAACCTCCCATAATTTCTTAGTATAGCAGTTAGCAGTCTGTGAATCCAGCCATTAATAGCTAAGTTTTTGCAATTTGGGTTGTTAAACCTCTGTGATTCTCCTTGTAATACACCAATCTTGCCAGTTAAAAAACCAAACGGATACTATAGATTTGGTCAAGAACTTCGAGCTTTCAATGAGGCTGTCATTCCCATACATCCTATAGTGCCAATCCCTATATGCTGTTAGCCTGGGTCCCATCCCTAGAGATGCCAATTAGTTTACAGTCTTAGATCTTAAAGATGTCTTTGTTTGTTTGTTTGTTTTGCATTGCAGTACTCCCTGATTCACAATTCATCTTCGCTTTTGAATGGACTGATCCTGACAGTCATTTGATTTATCAATAAACTTGGACAGTTCTTCCCCAGGTATTTAGGGGCAGCCCTTATCTGTTTGGAAATGCATTATCTAGAGAATTAAGGATGTTACACTTAAATAAGGGCATCATTATCCAATATGTGCATGATGTGTTGGTTGCTAGCCCAACCGAAGGAAGCTTGGACGAAAATACCTTTAAGTTGCTAAATTTTCTGTGAGCTAATGGGGATAGGGTCTTACAACATAGGGCCCAGATTTCAACTCAAGAGGCTAAATACTTAGGATATTTCCTAACCCCTGGCACCCAGGCAATAGTACCAGAACAAAAAGAAGCTATCTTGGGCATTCCACAACCCCAAACTAGAAAGCAGCTGCGGGCTTTTCTAGGGGTGTCAGGATTGGAGTGTATGGTCAAGCCTTTATATGATGCCCTGAAAGGAGTGAATGTAGATTCTTTAGAATGGAATAACAATTGTAAACAAGTTTTTAATGCTTTCAAGGAAAAATTGGGATCAGCTCCAGTCCTAGGGATCCCTAATCTTGATAAGCCATTTTTCCTTTAAGTGGCTAAGAAACAAGGAACCACCCTGGGTGTCCTTATCCAGAAACTGGGAGATATCTGAGAACCAGTGATATATATTTTTTGAAACAATTAGACCATGTCATTTCAGGATGACCTGAATGCCTCAGGGCAGTTGCAGCAACTGCTCTTTTAGGAGACGAAGTCAATAAAATGGCTTTAGGACAACATCTGGAGGTTTTAACCCCACACCAAGTACAAGGAGTCCTAGAAGCTAAAGGACAACAGTAGATGAAAGGAAATACTTATTTAAATATCAGGCTTTGTTGCTAAACATTCCTCACGTAACCCTTAAGATATGCCAGACTTTAAATCCAGCTACCTATCTGCCTGAACCCACCGGCACCCTATATCATTCTTGTATACAAGTAATGGAGCAAGTTTATTCTTGCTGGCCGGATTTAAAGGATGAGCCCCTAGATAATCCTGAAGTAGAATGTTCTATAGATGGAAGTAGCTTTGTGCTCGAGGGACACAGAAAAGCTGGGTATGCTGTTGTCAATCAACACAAAGTAATTAAGTCTCAGGCCTCACCAACTTCTACCTCAGCTCAAAAGGCAGAATTAATAGCTCTTGCTAATAGCCCTGCAATTATTAATAGCTCATATTAATAGCCCTGCATTTGGGAAATGACTTAATAATTAATATTTGTACTGTTTCTATGTATGCCGTTCTGGTGCTTCATGCTCGTGGAAGGAATGGAGACTCCTAACTGCTAGGGGTTCCCCTAAGAAACA